AAAATACCCCTGAAAGTTTCAAGGGGTATTTTGGTCATTATGTTTTATCGAAAAATTATTGTCAATATTTTTTATAGGTGCGCCCCAATGAGAAGATGGCATGTACAAATTTCATATTAAAAAAAAATTGTATTAAAAAAACTAAAAATAAAATATTTTGAGACGTTGGATCTAAGATCAAATGGTGAGTGGCTCTCTTGATAAAAAATGGATGGCTGGATGGTAGGGGAACATAGAACTTCTATGTTGTGGGGGGAACATATAAAGCTTTCCCTTTTCATTATTGTATAAAAAATATATAAACATTGAGAATCTGTTTCATATCGAGTGTTTATTGTTTATAAAAATTATTTTATAATCAAAATAAAAATTACAATGCAACATAACAATAAAATGAATATTTGTAACTCAATTTATTTATTTTATTATTATATTAACTTAGGATTTTTTATTTTTGAAAGAAGATATGGAATAAATTTAATGTAATTAAGTAGTTAGAATATCTTTTTATAATTATATGTAATTAAAACTTAACTATTTGTATTGTTATTTTTTGTAAATTATAAAAACAAATAAATAAATATTATTAATAAAAAAACTCTATTTTATTGATTGTTTCATGTAGATGACTATAAACAAGAGAGAAGCAATCAAGAAAAATCAAGTCAACGAACATATCCTTTTCCCCATTAGAAAAAAGTGATACACCAGTTCAGGTACAAGATGTTATTATTACCACCGGGGAAATTAGACATCCAACCCGTAATCGCAATAACCCAATTGCAAGAGCGGAGATCTACCAACTGAGCTATATCCCTCGGGCCAAATAGAGCATGCATGAATGAGTAAGATGCTTCTTCTATTCCATGCGCAGTTGGGCCATCCTGCTGGGCCATCCTAGACTTGAACCAAAGACCTCGCTCGTGAAGTAAATCATTTCACCTTCGATTTGATCAATTGGGAGAGAATTTTTTAGAGATATGTGCCAAATTTAATGGTGATCTTTTAGGTTCCTATACACATGGGTGCGGGAAAGGATCATTATTTTTGTATAAAGACTAAGCAAACTCCTAAATGATGTATTACATAAACGCTACCATTGACAAATTTGCCTTTGTTGAAATATGGAATGGGATGTGGGCAGGAGAAAAGGGCGTTGTCAACGCTGATAAATAGCATGTGGTACTGTTTTATGGGGTTTTAGGGCATGTGATGCAGATGGAGGGACCCGTTCACATTTTTTGAACACTAAATTGGTTAGTCTCATTTACAAATGTTAGGATTATTCCGGATCGGGTTACCGATTTTTTGAACACTAAATTGAAGTAAGTTACATAAATTTTATTTTGGACTTTGTGCTCAATGACAGATCCCAAACCACCCACTTTTGGTTCGCAATGATTGTGATTTCCTTAAATAGATGGTCATACTGTTGTACATAAGGGCCTGACCCTTTTTGAGGTCGATGTATCTCGGAACCTTGATAATCTTTATTGTTTGAATTGTACAAGGTGTCGATCAAAGTCATATTGGACTTAAAAATCAACTTTGACGATAGTTACTTGATAATCTTAGGCTGGATGGGTTTGGTGGGGTGGTGCGAGATTGAATGGGAAGGCTATCTTCTCCTATGCTGGGCCAGCAAGGAGTTAACCACACTGAACTTCTCCCCTCATGTTTTGAGGGATTGAAGATTTTTAAGGCTAAAAACTTGGGTTCGGCTTTGGTGGTTGAAGGTGACTTAGGTGTAAGAGAGAGATGAGGATCCTTTGGAAATTGAGATCGTTATGGCTGCAAATTTTAAATATATGATAATCTCCTGATAGCTTTTGTTATATGATAATCTCCTAGCCCATGGTTATAGGGGGACCGAGTCCTTGGCTAAGTTGTGCTTCCTCTTCTTTGGCTATGGTATGGTTAGGGACGGATGTAATCCTTTGGTTGTAATCTCTTTCTTTTTCAATAAATTTTGGTTAACATTTTTTTTTTTAAAAATACAGAGGGTCATATTGTATACATTTCTCTAAATAATTGAGGTATCCATAGTAAAGGATTCGTGAGGAATTAGTAATAGTTGTTTCATTTGAAAATGGCCCTATTTTCATGGAGTCGCATGTTGGGGAGTTGGGACCACCCTTTCCATTTGATTTTTCCAACCAAGTAAACGATTTTTAACCTCATGCACCTTTGATTACATGTGTTTTGTAAAAAGAAGCAATAAAAAGATTAGCTGTTCCTATCATTTCCGTTATGAGGTTTTAAATAGAAATTTGACTAAAATGAATATGGCATTGTTTAATGCGTGAGGCTGAGGTTTCCCAGGTTTTCCATGGTTTTGGGACCAAAATCCAAACTACTTCGAATTCATGTTTGCTCATAAAATAAAAAAAAATAAAAAATGGAGGTCGCTTTGCTTTATGAAACTAATAAGGCCATATACATATGGGTTATTCTAGAATTTATCATACTAATGGTGATTTTAGAAAATTCTACTCTCAAAATTTGAACAGTGAGTTGTCCTTAAAATAATTACAATCACATTAATTTATTATTCGTTCTTAAATTTCAGAGAGAGATATTGATTTTTCATTTACTTTAAATTCCAAATTTTGATTTTGATTTTTCTTTATTTTATTTTTTGATATTTTCTTGGATTACCAATTCTAATACAATTCGGATATTGGATGTAGCAAACCAACATGAAAATCTTGGGGTGAACGATCACCCCCACTGATCCGGGTTTTGAAACGCTGATGCAAACTAAGATGGAAGAAGCTTCAGATTGCCTTGCCCATATTAGGACTCTCTTTTGATTGGAGAAATCAACTACTATGGATCTTAAGGTTCAAAGGTAAAGCACCTAAAAATTTCCTTAACCAAAGTAAATTGTCTGTAATCATTTTGGACAACCAGTTCTCTTGTTTGTACTCTTATATCTTAATCATAGAACCCAAAAATTAGATCACAAAGCATCCCAAATAATGAAATAAATTATTGACAAGTGGCTGTAATTTGCCCCATACTTATCCTTTATTTGGTTTATTTTTGACAAAGTACTGGATGCCAACATCCTATGTTCAGTCCCCAGTAAAAGGTGTTGGACGGCTACACTCTTTTCTTCCAAGAGCCTTGCCTCATCGCACATTTTTTTAACTGAGAAGAGAGAGAGAGATGATTTTTAATTTAGGGTGAGGTTTGACTCCCATTTGGAGAGAGATGTTCAGTTGAGGAATGACGTTTTGAAAGAGAATTTCCACACATTCAGTTTTTAATGAGAGGCAGATGCGATTTCTCATTGCATGAAGTTTTTAGGCTTGGTAAAAACAAAATAAATTCTCCCCTTGCAATTTCAATTTATCTTTTGGAAAGCACTTAAAAGTTAGCTGTGAAGTGTTCAGGAAAAGTAGATGAAAACATTAATTACAGAGTGTCAGGTTTTCATTAATGAAACTGATGAGATGTTTTGATTTTATTAAAGCAACTGATGAGATGTCTTGGTTTATTAAAGCAAAGGATGAGTCATCCTGGCAGCATTAATTTTGGCCGGTGAAGGATCAGATGAGGTAACATTGATGACATCAGCGGCTATATCATAGCCTACGTTATTGATGACATCATGTTTTGTATCATCGAGACATGTGTGCTGAATAATTTTACAGTCGAGCTGTCCCATAAAATATTATTTTAATGTTCTATCATATTGACAATATTGGCTTTTCCTTGCATACTTTTTTTTGAAGCTTTGATCTTTCTTCGAAATCGGTTTCCTTGATATACCGCGATTTTCAGTATTCAAGAATTTATTTTATGGCTTTGAAATCATTATACTCTTCTTCTAGGGTCAGGATTTCAGTCCCAAAGCCGACTGACTTACATGATTCATAAACGTCTTTGAAAACATTATTTTAATTCAAAGATTGTTCAAACTTTTTAGCAAATTTTTTGACTCAGGGTTTAAGTTTATATCATTTATTATTCCTAAGCCATATACTTCAGAAATCTTTTCTAAAGTTTTTTGTTGATTTTTTGAAATATTTTTAAACCAATGATTACATGGCAATAGAAATCTATGTGATGGTTCTAAAATCAATTTGGCACTAAAATCAATTTTCAACATCGACAATGAAATTTGAAACTAAAAAAAATAGTGCATATCTATAAACACTTAATTTTAAGGTGAAATAGATAATTTGTTACAATATAAACTATTTATAAAACTTGAAATCTTAATTTTTTCTTTACAACCATAATGTTCAAGCCGAAAAGATCCATGTAAAGGTTTTCCAATACTTGAATTACAAATTTCGATGCGTTATGAAGTGGGGCTTTACTTATTTTGATTGGTTTGTCAAACCATTTCCCGTTTTCATTTGGGGTGAGGAATGATTTTTCGTTTGGGGAGGGGAACGAGTTTCACATCTTTAGATGTGTTTTGGTTTCGAACTGCTAGTTCTGAATTGGTTTTTTGTGTTAAAAATATGGAAATGTATGTCTCCATCACTTCAGGGTTGCTAATTCCAAACTGGCGTTTTGCTCACAAGAATATCGATTCGGAAGTAGCAGGTTTCAAACCAGTGAGATAGACAACGAACTAAGGTCGTTATGGAAAACTAGAAAAAGCGAGAAAAAAAGAGAGACATGGACATAAAAATATGGTATATCAAGGACTTTTTTCTACTTCTTCTGTTCACATGGAATATTACTGTAATTATCTAGAAAAAAGAAAGCACCCAAGCCAAAAAAGAAAAAAGAAAAAAAAGTGTAATTTATGATCATTATCAATCTTCATTATGCCTTATCTCAATTGTTTGAAATCGGCTAATTATTTACAAAAATGACCCATCACATGTGACTCTTCCCCTTCTTCAAAATTTCAATTAACCCCATAATCTCAAGTTAACTCTAAACCCCCTTCCAAAAAAAAAAAAAAAAAAAAAAAACAAAAAAAAAAAAGAAGGTGACCCCCGAGCCCTTTAACCTATTTCCATCCTTCCCCTCTCTCATCGCTTAGGCACCAACCAAAGAGAGCAAAAAGATACAGGCTGCCCCTTCCAAAACAGAGAAAGACACCCCTCATCCCCTCTCATTTCCCACCCAGAATCATATTTTTTCAAAAATACCCTCCCAGCCTCAACCATCTCTTCCCCCAAAACACCCCCAATAAATCCTAAATTCCTCATCTCGTCCCCCCACTTCCTCTTTCCCCACCATTCTCTCTCTGCACTAAAACACATCTCTGCAACTTCTTCCTCTATCAATCTTCTCTCTTCACACTCTCTCCCCTTAAAACCCACACCGCATGAATCCAAAAACCGCCATAAAAACTCCACTCCCTCGCTAAACCACCTAGTAAAGCCACCTTCCTTTCCCCCAAAACCGCTCTCTTGTGATGCAAAACCGTTTGCCCCAGGACCGGTCTCTTTGGCCGCATAACCGGTTTCGTTCGAGTCAAAGCCGATTTCATTTGCCCTAAATCCGGTTTCTTTGGCTTTAAAACCAATTCCTTTGTCAGGTAAACCGGTTTCGCCACCATCAATTTCACTTAAAAACATAGCCTCTGCTCCTAAGCCCTTTAGAAACCCGAGAAATTTCCGGCGGTCACCATTATTTTCAGAAATTTCATGGAGCCGAGATTGCACGCAAATCGCCAATCTCTCGCCTGGAAAGATTCCTAAGTCCTCGACCGTTAGATTCTCTAGGGCTTTTCTGACCACCTTGATGTCCAATTTCATATTGAATGAGGTTGCAAACCTAGTGAGCCGCACAGGAAAATCGTCGCCATTAGGCCCCGAAGCGAATGGCACGATCAAGCCCGTCACCACCGTGAGACGCAAGCTCATGGTCGGCGCCTTCCTCGCCATCGCCTCGATGAATGTGGGCCATTGGATCCCATGCGAAACACCAATATCCAATATATGCAACGTCGAGCCCATGTCAACCGGACTTGAGCCCTGGCCTTGTGGGCTCGAGCCCAAGGCTTGGATCAGGGCTTGGTTACAAACCGTGTGAGAGAATGAAAACCAAGGGCTGAGCTCGTGAAACTTGAGTAAGGCTCGGTGCAATGCCCGAGGCTCAGAGTTGGCGAACCCGGTGGGTCCTGGCAGGCTCGGTTGCTGCTCGAGCCTACGAGCTAAGGCTCGGAGCCCATGGGCAGCGAGTCTATGGTTCGGGTCACCTGATAACGAGGCCAAGTCCCGTAAAACGAACAACAAATGGTGAACACGGGCGTTATTTCGGGCCTCAATTGCGGACGCGCAAGGATTTAATAGTTGCTCAGCCCATCGGGACTCCTTCCCGTTATTCTTCCCGTTGCCGCATCCCTTTGGCTTGGCCTCCGTCGTAACGGGCGCTAACGCCGGCGTAATTTCGGCCTCGCTGCTCTCCCCTGTCTGAGGCGACAAGCTGCCGTTACGTTCGCCTACAAAATCGTCTTTTCCGTTACCGTTGCATGCCCTCTTGCTCTGGTCGTTACTGCAAGCGTTATTTGGTCTCTTCCGGCCGTTTCTGCCGCTGCCGTCAATTCCTGCAACTTTTTCGCCGTTACCGTCGCTGTCCCCGTCATCATCACGGTCGCCATAGTAACCGTCAAAGACTTCTCTGCTGCTGCCGTTTCCATTACCGTCACCGTCAGTTGAGCTCCTGTGCTTGCCGTTACAGTTAGGATCAAGCTCGACGGGTTCCCAATCGCACCAGGAGACGGTGCCGTCAAGAGAAGGTAACGGGGACGGTAACGGTAGGAAGGGGTCGTGACGGTCGGCCGTTAGCCATTCGAGGAGGTCGGAGCCTTCACCGTCCGTTAGGGGCGGGGGCGTGCCGTTAGCCAACATTGAGTAATTTGGAATTGGAAGTTTGTTTCTCTCTCTAGAAAGTTGGGGAATGGGACATGGAATCAGTGAGATTGAATGGGTTTCGAATTGAGAAATCTCGCTCTCATGAGTTGGGGTAGCAAATTTGGAGCCAAAAGGGAGAAGGGGAGGAGAGAGAGAGAGATTGATGCCGAGTTTTAAGCGTCTTTCTCTCTCTAGAACACCAAATAGAATGGAGGGAGAGAGAGAACTGATTGTAAGGGGCTCTGCAGCTGTGAATTGATTGAGAGACTCTCTCTCCAGCAGGTGTTTTGATTTATAGTCTGGTGTTTCTCTCTCTGCAAGCTTTGTGAAGGGCTGTGAAGTGTAATATAGACTGAGAGCTCTGAACTAATTCTTTGAGGTCATGCAGGGAAGAGATTTTATAGACAGAGAATGCGTTCAAAAAAAGAGATTTTATAGAGAGAGAATCTAGAGAGAGAGTGAGTTAGAGAGAAGGGGAGATTATCTTGGGAACAGGGTCTATTGAGGTAAGCGAGAGTCGTACCATCAATTAGACTATAAATCATCGAATATCTCCTCACTTCTTCCATTAATATCTTTCTAGACATTTTTTCTTCACCTTCTTGGTGTTGTTCTAACATGATGTTAGACATATTCAAACCACTCAAAGTCAATTTTCCCTAAGTTTTATCGCCTATCGATGATTTCAAATGTATTTCGTTCTGATATAACATTCGATCAAGATTCATAATAAAAATATGATATAAATTTTACCAACCTCACACAACTGTTTTTTCTTATTTGAGTGTGGAATCTGCATTGGTAGAGAGCAATCTAACAAAATAACTACTAAAAGCAAAAAATAAAGGAAAATATATTTTTCGTACATCTCGTTGATGATTTAGATATTTCAAGTAAAAAAACACATACTAAAACATAGATTTGTCATTATATACATAAAGGGTGGGACATGCACAAGGTGTCCACCTTAAAATAATCAAAATAAAATGCAATGCACCTTTAAATATTATTAAAAGATGCATTTTTGGTGCCATAAATTTTTATAATGGCCTAAAAATCTACCGATCTGAATATAGTGGAGGCTGAGTAGAACTGCAAGTCTAGTTATAAAATATATTATTTTTAGGACATGAGATCTTTTATTGTCATTTCTACATCGAGATGATTAATTGCAAGACTTTTGGACATGAAAGCAACATTTTCAAGTGGATTTTTGATGTGCACCCTATTTTAATAACATAAAGTTGACACTTTATATAAATTTTTTTTTATAAATATAAAGAAAAAGTATTAGACCACTTATATTTTTTTATAAAGTGGTCACTATTAATCTTGACCATTAGATGTAAAATTGAGTGGTGATATTTATTTTAATAACCAAGTACAAAATTCAAATGAAAATTTCTAGAGCTTTTTGACATATACAAACTATCAAAGTTCTTCTCGTATGGTTATAAGTAATCGTGACCTCTTTATATAATAGGTAAATAGTCTCATTGTGTATAATCTTACATATAAATTATTTCGATAAAGTCAACTCACCTGTTGAATTTAAAAATTTGGACGGTATTTAACGATTCTCGATCCGTATCGATGATTTTTCAAATAGTATTGGAGATATGCTAATTCGTGGGAGGAAAGATGAAGACAGAGAGAAGGTATTACTTGAGGTGGTTGCACTAACAAGACGTAAGAATGTGACCTCAAATTTGTCTGGTGTGGGAAGCCAGCTCAACTCCTGCCTCTCTTTCTGCGAAATGTGAAGCATCCTTTTCAATATACATTATTTTCTAAAGGGTTATAAAGGGTGTTGTTTGTATAAGGCCAAGGCTCCACACAATCACAATAAAAGCGCACTTTCCAATAATGTTTAAAGATGTTGTTTTAATATTAAAAATTTTTGTGATGGCTTGAAAAATTATTTTCATCTTTAATTATAAAAGGATTTTGTTTCTATGCGGCCAAACCCACATATGTAAAAATATGGGCCTATTAATAAATCTATTTTTAAGATAGATTTTTTATCTTAATTTTTAAAGATATGTAATCTCTAACATGAGATCATGAGTATGGAAAAATAAGGAAATTTTTAAAAACTACAAATAATAATTCTAGTAAAAAAACATTTGGACCCATTAGTTTCCATTGTTTTTAGATAGAACATCTATTTGCATCCATGTTTAAGATGGATGCTTTACACTTTTTGGACTGCATATGTAGTCCTGCAGTCCAGCCCACATGAAACAACTTTCCATTATAAAATCTAAAGCTTAAAAAATAGGACTGCATATGCTTTACACTTGAAGAACTTGAAAATTGATGGGAGGTGTGCTTTAATTTGATTGTTTAGAGCCTGGCCATATATAACCTTTTTCTTTTTAAAAATCTTAACTTAATTTGAATAATTAAGTTGCCCTCTCAAACTTTGCCGGAGGATATGGTGCTGGTGTTCAAAACTTTTTTTGGCAGCCATAATTGAGTAAAATTCAATCCTTCAAAAACAGTGCCATTTGTGTCATTTTCTTTGTTGAGAATCGAGAGAAAGAAGGGCTGACGATGGGCTAGGCCTAGCTAGGGCCAGGCCTGGCCCACCAAGCCCAGTCAAGGTTACGGCCGGTAGATTAAAAGAAAAGGATAAACATAAACTAGGCCGAGGTCGAAGCCTAGGCCCAACTAATGCTATATTATACAGCCCAAGTCCTTTTTTAAGGTTCAGACCGACCAAACCGTGGCCAACCAAGAACCCTGCATGTTGCCTGCACTAAGAAAGAGCAAGATACACTGGTCAGAGCAGTCAGGGCATATAGCATCCCCAAATTCCAAGAGATCGATTCATTTAACAGTTTTGGTAGGTCAGCCAACTCACTATTGTTGTGAGGTCCCTTATGCATCAAAATATGGATGTCAAAAAATGTTGCACGTAAAATGAATGGTTGAGAGAGAAATTAAAAAATATTTTTTATTCTTTTTTTTTTAGGAATTTTTGTTTTAAATAAAAAAATTTCATATTCATGATCAACATCATGGCTGAAATTAGAAAACACTAAAACATTTCGCCCCATATACTTTTTCCTTTTTTACTAGGTATTCCCCCATTCTATATAAGGTTTCAACCTTATACTATATAAATAAGGTGCACCTCAAAATTCGGTGGAAAAGAGTGTTATAAAGTTAAAAACCTTTCAATTAATTATTTTGACTTTGAGATGTATGGATGGGAAGAAAAAAATAATTTTAAATTATAAAATTGGTGCATCTTGTAACAAGTTATTTGGACTATACATTTTGAGATTGTCTACAAAGAGACCATTTGTCTTTTGTACATGAAAGTCACAATCATTATTGTCCCATAAATTTCAAAATGGATGGTTATAAGAGTGTCATTGAATAGGCACAAAGTTTCAAAAAAAAATTATTGGACTTTGTGACTCACCTAAAACCATCCAATTTGACATCTAATGAATGGAAATGGTTGTGACCTGTATGTATAAAAGATAAACGGTCTCTTTATAGACAATCCATTTTCAAAATTCTCAATTATTTATAAATTTACTCGACTATATAGTTTTTAAAATTTTAAATCATATAATTAAGGTTGAATCACGCCAGTTTCGACATCGAAAATACCTCTTCTAACAAAATTGTTACAATTGTTTGTATAAGATAAAGTTGACACCTTTTACAAATTTGACCATGTTTATCGCATAGCCGAGGAACAATCATAATAAGTGGAAGAAATTTAATTCACACCCAAGTTTCCCTCGTAGTCCAAGTTTTCGGCCCGAAACTTCGCTGCAAAAGGAATCGTCATGCACTTTGCGTCGGGGGATGTAATTTCCAAGTTCCCAAAATTTTAGGGAGTGAGAGAGTAATCTAGAGAGAGAAAGAGAGAGGAGAATGTGAGAAATTTTTATTAATGGCTGTGAATATATCTATGCCGTTTTTTTTTAACGGTAAGGTATTGATTTATAATTAATTCATATGTAAAATACAAGATGTTCAAACAATGTCACAATATTATGGAAAAAGAAGTAACCAACAGAGAAGGAATATGGACTCTTCTTTTTACAAGAACATCGACATCTTCGTTCGCCTCTCTATAACAATATTGAACCGTTGCTATAGAGGTTGACAAAATATTTCAAATTTGATGAAAAAATAGTATTTAATCTCCAAAACATTTGTCGAGTCTTTTTCGATAATCTTGTCCCCTTCCAAACTGCATAGCAATTTCAAACATTCTAATAAACCTCGTGCTTCCGCCTCATTTGCTGTTGTGATGCCATAAGGATCCGAGTAAGAAAAAATAATGTGACCCCAATTATTTATGATGAGTCCACTATAGCCGGTTAGCTCTGGATTGCCAAGTGAACTTCCATCAAAATTAAGTTTGAAGGAATTTACTTAAAACACTTTCAAATCTATATGTTTTAAGATAAACAAATTACTTCCGGATCTTGTACATGGGTTAGCGAGATTTTTATTTTGGTAACTTTTCAATCATTCGATCTAAATGGATGGTTTGAAGAGCTCCAGTCATAATGTCATAATCTAGCTACCAGGTCTTTGTTATTGATCGAGAGGTAATGACATAATCACATTTGATTTTTACATTTTATTGATCACTTTAATATAAAATTTAAAGTGTTTTCAAATACTGTTTACAAGAGTTAAAAAAAATTTAAAGTGTTTTCAAATACTGTTTACAAGAGTTATCAAAAAGTAGTTTTGCTTGTTTTATTTTATGTCAAAATGGTTTATAAAAGAATAAAAATAAAATAATGTTCAAAAAAACATTATTATTGAAACTATCACAACTATCCATTTAGATCGGATTGACAAACCAACAACTAAATGTAATTTACATATGGGCCGCGCCGCAAATGAAGATTTCTCTGGTATTTGTGTGTTAGATTAGATATGTTTTCACAATATGAAAATCGTTTCATAGGGCAGCCCTATCAAAAGTAAAGCCTCATCTCATAATTCATCGAAAA